TTTTATTACCTGATTTGTGGTTGTTTCTGAAGAGTTTCTCTGATCTTTTCTTGTCTTTTTCTCTTTCGTGTTTTGCTCATTTTCTTTAATGATGTGCTTGGATTCCTTTCTCTTTATTCCTTGCCTATTTATTAGTGGTTTTTGATTTGTGGTTACCATAATTTTGTATACAACCTCTTCTCTATATAGCAATCTATATAAGTTGATGGTCCCTTAAGTTTAGAACCCATTCTTGACTCCTCTCCTCCCCATATTTTAGGTATATGTTGTTACATTTTAGTTTTTATTTATTTTTGGTTTAATTTATCTTAGAGAGCGAGAGAGTGGGGAGGGGAAGAAGGAGGAGGAGAGAGAGAATCGTAAGTGGGTTCCAGGGTGGCCATGGCGCCCAACGTGGGGCTCCATCCCACAATCCCAAGATCATGACCCGAGCTGAAATCAGGAGTCAGAGGCTCAACCGACTGAGCCACCCAGGAGCCCCTATGTTGCTATATTTTAAATCCTTTTATTTTGTGATTACCTTGACCGACTTTTTACAGAAATACTCAAATTTCAGTGCTTTTGTGTTTTATCTTTATACCGTGTCTTTTCGTCCCTCCTTTCCACTCAAAGAGTCCCCTTTAATATTTCTTGCAGGGCTGGTTTAGTGGTCACAAACTCCTTTCGTTTGTGTTTGTCTGGGAAACTCTCTACCTCTCCTTCTATTCTGAATGGTAGCCTTGCCGGACAGCGTCTTCTTGGCTGTAGGTTCTTTCCTTTCAGCACTCTGCATATATCATGCCACTCCCGTCTGGCTTGCAAAATTTCCCTTGCAAAGTCTCCTGCTCAGCTTACGGGTTTTGGTTTTCCCTTGTAAATACTGTCTTCTTTTGTCTTCTTGCTTTTCAAATTTTCTTTATCACTATATTTTGCCGATTTAATTACATATGTCTTGGCGTGGGTCTGTTTCTGTTGATTTTAATGGGAGTTCTCTGTGCCTCGTGGATCTGGATGTCTGCCTCCATCCCCAGGTTAGGGAAGTTTTCAGCTATTATTTCTTCAAATAAATTTTTTGCCTCCTTTTCTCTCGGTTCTTCTTCTGGGACTCCAATAATGTGAATGTCATTACATTTGATGGAGTCCCTGAGGTCCCTAAGTCTATTCTCGTTTTGTGTAATTGCTTTTTATCTCTGTTGTTCAGCTTGATTCCTTTCCATTACTCAGTCTTCTAGGTCACCATTTCATTCCTCTGCTTCTTCCATCCTGCTGTTCACTCCATCAAACCTGTTTCTCATTTCTTTTCCTGAGCTCTTTATCTCTGCTATGTTACTCCTTATCTCTCTGTTAGTCCTTATCACGTGTCTCACTCATGTCTTCACTCTTTTCCTAAGTTCAGTGAGTTTCGTTATTGATCATTGCTTTAAATTCTCTATCAGGCCTGTTATTTACATCTGTTTTGCTTAGATCTCTGGCCATGGCCTGGTCTCCTTTTTTGTATGGGATAAAGTTCTCTGTCTCCTCATTTTGTCTGCCTCTCTGTATCTGTTCCTGCGTGTTACAAAAGACAGCTATGTCTTCTACTCTTGAAAGTAGCGACTTTAGGAAGAAGTAGTCTCAGAGTGCCCTGCAGTGCAGTGTCCCCTGTTCACCAGAAGCTGGCACTTCACGAGAATATCCTATGTGTGTTGCTTATGCCCTGCTGTTGTGTCTGAGTCACTTTCCTTTCAGTGCAGTCATCTGCACTGACTCTCTGCCTGTTGCGGGCTGTGTTGCCTCTCTGTGGTTTTACTGGGACTGAGGCAGGACAGCTCTGGGGACAGGGGGGATGTGCCCACCAGGGAACTTGGGAGTAAAATTTGCATTGGGCCTCCAGTCCTATGCCGGATTCCCCCAAGCACTGTGGTGGCTGGGTCTGTGCGTGGGGTTAGCCAGCGGCATGAGACTGGGCGTGGCTCGAGGCACTGGCTGGGTGCAGCTGTGCCCCGCCCACAATGGTGTCTGTGGGTGCATGCCTTGGCGAGGCATGACACCTGGGCATGGATCTGCAGCTTGGTGGGGAATTAGCTGTGCACCCATTGTTTGGGTGGGGTATGAACTGCTTTAAAACAATTTGCCCTGATCCTACAGCTGAGCCCAGCAGGCCTGGAGTGGACAAGTCCTGAGGAGAACTGGTGGGCATGGCACACTGCTACCAGGTTAGGTAGGAAGGCTCTATGCAGTGCTCAGATGGCCCCGTGTTTATGCAGGGGGGCAGGGGTGGAAAAAGGCCCCTGTAGCTCTTCCTTCTTCAGAGAGGTCTGCCACCACGCTCCAAAATCAGTATGAACAGTTCCGTCTCCCATTTGCCCCTGACATGGTGCAAACTGCCATTTTTATGTCACCCCTCCACACAGGCTGCTCTCCTTTAAGGGTGGCGACCCAGCTGTCACTCGCTCTCCTGGCTTGCCCAGTGTGAGCTCCCTGGTGGGAGAACCTATTTCTCGCCCCTCTCCCCATGCATAGCTCCCTCCCTCCTGCTGGCAGCCTCCCTCCACGTTTCTGACCTTCCGAAAATTTCAGATGCAGCTTCCTCCCTATATTTAGTTTTGGGGTTTCTTCTTCCAGTCCTTGCATTGCTCTCTGGTTTATTTAATTTTTCTGGATGATATCTAGTTTTAAATGTGGGATGGGGTGAGCTCAGGCTCCTCCTACTCTGCCATCTTCCCAAGATCCTCTGGAATCGCTTTCTTAAAATGACTTTTTAAATAATATTATATGTATGACACCAATGTGCATGAATAACATTGAAAAACCACTGTAAGTCATGTGGACAAAAAGGGCCTTTAGAACCAGCAGCAATCAGCATGATAGAAATTAAGTGACTTAGTGAAACAGGATTTCAATTTTCTAAATGGTCCACAGTCCTTTCTCTGAAAAGGCATATGGCTCTAAAAAGAGCTTTTGGCTTCAAAAATTCAGTTCCCCAAGGAAATGGCAATTTCTCAGGACCACCCACAAGGATTTACTGACACTTCTTTTTATGGTAGCTTTCCTTTGGTATTTATGCAGCAAGTCCCCCATCCCTTTCCATATCCCTTTGGCTTTATCTCTCATCAAATGGGCTCAAGAAAAGTTTGGATTCCTGTAGTTTACCTAGCTTTTGTCTCACTGTTCAGCTCAGAGTGACACCATTCACAGGATTATACATTCAAATCAAAGGTCATTTAGAATTTATTTTTAGTGTTCACATGAAACATATAGCAAACATAACGAAATAGTCGGTTTTCGTACAATCTGTAACAAATTGAAGCCCCCCCACACAACCCTGACAGTGTGTTCTCCCTTCACAGATATATAGGAAGCTATAAATCCATTAAATGGAAAGCACTTGGATAATCACCAACCACTTTGAAATTCAGCATGTACCTATAGGAAAAGGAAACAAAGAAAGAAAAAAGCCCATACGCCAAGAAGAAAAACACAATGAGTGTTAAAGTGCATTACCATTACCCTAAGTCCTCCTCCCCATCAAATCACTTGACGTAGAGGAATGGTCACCTTAGTTCTCTTAATAGCCAAGCAGCCTCTTATTTTGATGCAAAATGTTAGGGACAGTTCCCAACATGACATCTGCATGTTGAAACATCAACCACCCTGGTTCAAAGGAAGTGCTTCAACACAAACCACAGGCTGACATGTCGACCATCACACCACCATGCCCCTCAACCTCCAGGCACAGGAGGGCTATTATTGGTTCAGCCCAGGTTACCCAACCACCCTTTGGGCCAATGGCCGTGGATCCTGCGCTGCCAGTTGCTTATTGGTCGCTGCCAGCAGAGGCTGGGAGCACAGCTGCTCTCATTGGATCACCCCGTCATCCAGGCATAATTGCAGGGCAGGAAGCCATTTGTGTCAAATGTAAAGATGGTACGGTACCACGGCACAAAATCAGATAAATTTTTATTGAAGTAAAGTAGGCCTTTTTTTTTTTAATTTATTTATGTTACGTTAATCACCTAAAGTAGGCTTTTCACAAGGTCGGGACCTCTACTAGGGCGTGGTTCTAGATAGGTTGAGTTTTCTGCACAGTGTTTGGTTCCTTTTTTATGTATTTCACTGAATTAGGATGAGGAGATAAGTTGAGGGAATGTGAATGGGGTAAGGGTGAGTTTTGTATCTGTTACAGTGCTTCACTTGTTGCTGTATCAACACACTCAGAAATTCTCCATAGGGTACTATTCGACACAAGTGGGAGAAGGAGAATAAAAAGGGCAAGTAAAATTATTGTGGACCCTGCTGTGACCGTAAAGGGTCGTGGAGACGCTGACCTAAAGGACTGGGCCACTTAGGAATGTGATGAAATGCAACATGGTCAAGGAAAATCATAACTGACTGCACCACACACATATATTAAAGTGGACTTGCTCACGGTAAAGGTGTTTTAAGAGCGGGCAGAATGGCACAGGTCCAAACGCTAGAGTAGGTGTGACTCTGGAGAGTTACAGGGCTCTTGTGCCAAGTGAGGTGGCTCTGAAAAGAGACTTTGGTTTGCGAGGTGGTCAGGCAGTCAGGAGGCAGCTCATTTGCGTCCGTAGAACCTGATGACGGCCTTCAGGGCCTCGGACACGGCGTGCTTGCCAATCTCCCCAGGCAGCAGCAGGCGCACAGCTGTCTGGATCTCCCTGGTGGTGATGGTGGAGTGCTTGGTGAAGCGGGCCAGGCGAGAGGCCTCCTCAGCGATGCGCTCGAAAATGTCCTTGAAGAACGAATCCGTGACACTCAGGGCCTCCTGCGAGAGGCTCAGACCCTGGTGAACCTGCTTCAGAACCCTGGGGAAGTAGGTGGCGAAACAGTCGGGGCAGTGGTGGCGGCAGCAGACAAGGCAGTGGCAGCCGCGGCCATGGCCACGGCGGCGGCCTCCATGCCTGGGCTACTTCTGCTTTGGGCTCATCGGGTCTGCTGCTGTGGGCTCCTTGGTGCTGAGGCTTTCCTCAGAAGAGGTCTCACACCCAGGTTCAGCCATGTGGGGCTCACCTTCCCGACAGCTCAGAAGGAAGGGCACTGGCGGCCGCTTGAGCAGGGAGGGTCCATTTATAGTCACTGCATTTCCTGATGTCACCGGCAAGTCCTATCTGATTGGACAACATGCAAAGCTAAGAAGCAGGTCACTGAGCCAGGTCTTGTCAGATCTGACTGCTTGCCCTCGAGCTTGACGTCTCTTCAGTCAGAGTCGGAATCAGGCGTCCTCTAATTTTCTTGTGACTACCACTAGAAAAATGTTAAAACATTCCATGTAAAGGTGTAGTTTCCTCCAGATTTCCAATATGAAATTTTCTTTTCAAGGAGAGTCAGAGAGAGAGGGAGTGGAGTAGTAGAATGGGCAGGGGGAGAGGGAGCGACTCCCAAGGTGGGGGGCCCAAGCTCAGCACAGAGCCTCATGTTACTCTGTATTTCACAAACCTGATACCGTGACCCAACATCTGGAGGTAAACTATAAGTTTATATGGTATATTTGAACGTATTTCTGGCGGCCGTCACAAGAAAATTAGAAGCCGCCTGATTTTGATGTCAAGCTCGGGGGAAGCATTCAGATCTGACAATACATGGCTCAGTGACTCCCTTCTTGTCTTTGCATTTTGTCCAATCAGATAGGACTTGCCAGTGACGTCAGGAAATGCAGCGACTATAAATGGGCTGGCACCCCTCAAGCTGCCGCCAGTGCCCTTCCTTCTGAGCTGTCGGGAAAGCGAGCCCAACATGGCTGAACCTGGGTGTGAGACCTCTTCTGAGGTAAGCCTCAGCACCGAGGAGCCCACGGAAGCAGACCGGAAGAGCCCGAAGCAGAGGCAGCCGAGGCACAGAGGCCGCCACCGTGGCCGCCACTGCCGCTGCTTTGTCCATCTCCATCGCCACCGCAGCCCGCACGGTTTCGCCACCTACCTCCCCAGGGTTCTGAAGCAGGTTCACGAGGGCCTGAGCCTCTCGCAGGAGGCCATGAGCATCATGCATTCGTTCCTCAAGGACATCTTTGAGCGCATTGCCGAGGAGGCCTCTCGCCTGGCCTGTTCCACCAAGTGCTCCACCATCACCACTGGGAGATCCAGACAGCCGTGAGCCTTCTGCTGCCCAGGGAGATTGGCAAGCAGCCATGTCTGAGGCCACCAAGGTCATCATCAGGTTGACCTTCCGCCAATGCGCTGCTTCCCTACAGACTGACCACCTCGGAAACCAAAGGCTCTTTTCAGAGTCACCTAACTTGACACAAGAGACCTGTCACTCTCTAGACATGCACCTACTCTAGCGTTTGGACATGTGCCATTCTCCCCATTCTTAAAACACCTTTACCGTGAGCAAGTCCACTTTAATATATGTGTGTGGTGCAGTCTGTTATGATATTCCTTGACCATGTCGCATTTCATCCCTTTCCTAAGTGGTCCCTTCCTTCAGGTCAGTGTCTTTGGGACTCTTTATGGTCACAGCTGGATCCACAATAATTTTACTTGTCTTTTGTATTCTCCTTCTCCCACTTGTGTCGAGTCGTATCCTATAGAGATTTTCCGAGTGTGTTGATAGAGCAACAAGTGAAGCACTGTAGCAGATACAAAACTCACCCGTACACCATTCATATTCCCTCAATGTATCCCCTCATTCTAATTCAGTTAAATACATAGAAGAGGACCCAAACACCGTGCAGAAAACTCAACCTATCTAGAGCCATGCCCTCCTCAAGCTCCCGACCTTGTGAAAGGCCTACTTTATGTGATTAACGTAAGGAAATAAAAATAAATAAATAAAATAAAAAAAGAATGGCTTACTTTACTTTTTTCAAATTTGTCTGATTCTGTGCCTTGGTAGCTTACCATCTTTCCCTTAAAACCAAAAGACTTCCTGCCCTGCAATTATGCCCGGAAGACAGGGTCGTCCAATGAGAGCAGCTATGCTCCCAGCCTCCGGTGGCAGCAACCAATAAGCAACTGGCAGCACAGGATCCACGGCCATTGGCCCAAAGGGTGGTAGGGTGACCAGGGCTGAATCAATAATAGCCTTCTTGTGCCTGGAGATTGAGGGGCAAGGTGGTGTGATCTTCGACAATTCTGCCTGTTGGTTTCTGTTGACGCGCTTCCTTTGAACCAGGGCGACTGAAGTGTCAACATGCAGATATTACAGTGGGACCTGTCCCTATCATTTTGCATCAAAATAAGAGGCTGCTTGGCAATTAAGAATACTAAGGTGACCCCTTCCTCTACGTCAAGTGATTTGATGGGGAGGAGGACTTAGGGTAATGGTAATGCACTTTAACACTCATTGTGTTTTTCTTCTTGGCACATGGGCTTTTTTACTTTCTTTGTTTCCTTTTCTTATAGGTACATGCTGAATTTCAAAGAGGTTGGTGATTATCCAAGTGCTTTCCATTTAATTGATTTCTAGCTTCCTATATATCTGTGATTAGAGAACACAAACTAGGGGTGGGGTGGGGAGACTTCAATCCTTTGAAATTTGTTACAGGTTGCATGAAAACCGACTATTACATTATGTTTGCCATGTGTTCCATGTGAACTCTTAAAATAAATTCTAAATGACCTTTGATTTAAATGTAGAAGCCTCTGAATGGTGTCACTCTGAGGCAAACAGTGAGACAAAACCTAGGTAAAGTACAGTAATCCAACTTTTTCTTGAGCCCATTGGACGAGAAATAAAGCCAAAGGGATATGGAAAGGGATGGGGGACTTGCTGCATAAATACCCAAGGAAAGCTACCATAAAATTAAGTGCCAGTAAATCACTGTGGGTGGTCCTTAGAAATTGCCATTTACATGGGGAACTGAATTTTTGAAGCCAAAAGCTCTTTTCAGACTCATATGCCTTTTCAGAGAAAGGACTGTGGAACATTTAGAAAAATAAAATCCTGTTTCATTAAGTCACTTAATTTCTATCATGCTGATTGCTGCTGGTTCAAAAGGCCCTTTTGGTCCACATGACTTACAGTGGTTTTTCAAAGTTATTCATGCACATTGGTCTCATACATATCATGTTATTTAAAAAGTCATTTTAAGAACGTGAATCCAGAGGAGCTTGTGGAGATGGCAGAGTAGGAGGAGCCTGAGCTCACCCGTCCCACATTTAAAACTAGATATCTCCAGAAAAATTAAATAAACCAGAGAGCAATGCAAGGACTGGAAGAACAAACCCCACAACTAAATATAGGGGGGAAGCTGCATCTGAAAGTTTAGGAAGGTCAGAAACGTGGAGGGAGGCTGCCCGCAGGAAGGAGGGAGCTGTGCATGGGGAGAGGGCCGAGAAATAGGCGCTTGCACCAAGGAGCGCACACGGGGGAGGCTAATACCAATACTGTTTGGCTGTGGAACCCAGAAGGGCTGAATACCGTGAGTTTGTAAAACCAGTGGGACTTGGACCCCGGAGATTTGAAAGTCAGCACACTCCACACTGGGCAAGCCAGGAGGGCGAGTGACAGCTGGGTCACCACTCTTAAAGAGAGAACAGCCTATGTGGAGGGGTGACATAAAATCGGCAGTTTGCACCATGCCAGGGGCAAACGGGAGACAGAATTGTTCATACTGATTTTGGAGGGTGGTGGGGGACCTCTCTGAAGACGGGAAGCTGCAGGGGCCATTTTCCTCCCCTGTCCCCCAGCATGAACATGGGGCCATCTGAGCACTGCACAGACACTTGCTACTTAGCCTGCTAGCCGTGTGACACGCCTACCAGTTCTCCTGAGGACTTGCCCACTCCAGGCCTGCTGGGCTCAGCCGGGGGTTCAGGGAAAATTTTGTTAAAGTGGTGCATACCCCACCCCGCCACTGGGTGCACAGCTGCTTCCCTGCCCAGCTGTTGAATTGTTCCCAGCTGTCATGCATCGCCCAGCAGTGCCCCCACAGCCACCACTGAGGGTGGGACCCAGGTGCACCCAGCCTTTGCCTCGAGTCACAGCCCACCTCATGCACCTGGCCAACCCCACGCACATACCCACCAGCCACAGTGTTTGGGGGAAACCGGCATAAGACTGGTGGCCGAATGCAAATTTTGCTCCCAAGTTCCCTGATGGGCACATGCCCCCTGTCCCCAGAACTGGCCTGTCTGGATCTCAGTAACACCAGAGAGAACAAGTACATCCCGCAGGAGGCAGAGAGTCAGTGCAGATGACTGCACTGAAAGGAAAGTGACTCAGACACAACAGCAGGGCATAAGCAACACACATAGGATATTCTCCTGAAGTGCCAGGTTCTGGTGAACAGGAGACACTACACTGCAGGGCACTCTGAGACTACTTCTTCCTAAAGTCGCTACTTTCAAGAGCAGAAGATGTAGCTGAGTTTTGTAACACACAGGAACAGATAGAGAGAGGCAGACAAAAGGAGGAGAGAGAGAACTTTATCCCATACGAAAGAAGGGGACGAGGACATGG